CTTTGTTTCACGATATAGATATATATATATATATATATATATATATATATATATATATAAGTTATATTATTATTATAATTTTAAATGTTTGCTTCGTTCAAATGAGTGTCTTTCGACAAATTCTAAATAGAATCGAATGTACAACACTTGACATTGGTAAAACATAGTAAACGTTATTTTTTATGCTAACCAAATTCAGACAAAGCAAAAAAAAAATTACCTGCTACTCGTGGCTGGTTTTACGTATATTTAGATCTAAAGAGAATTTTAAAATAATATTTTTTTGAATGAATTGAGAAAATTTATTAAAATTATTAAGATTTTATTTAAAATTCATTTTTCAAAAATTTATCAGATAACCTTTTGTTATTAAAACATTATAATTAATTTCATTTAGTATTTCTTTTATTAAATAATTTTTGAACTTTCAAAAACGTGCTTTGGAAAGTGTCATTTTTCTTCAAAATTTGGTTAAACTCCTTTGAGTTAAAATATCAGGTTTAATTCAGATTTTTATTAATATTAATTTTGAAAAATTATAAATATCACAACTAGCTAGGTAGTAACGGGATAACGAACTAAAAATAATAAGTTACAAAGAAAAAGTAAAATTTTTACCAAAGATTTTATTTGAAAAAAACATCTAAAAGTCCATTTAAAAACAAATGAAAACAAATTTAACTCAATAGTCCATTACGTAGAAGGAAAAAAATCGCAATTTCCATAAAAAAAAAATACATACACCTAACTAATTAAACAAATTACTAATAATTTTTAATATATTATTTGAGCAATGAATAAGAGATAGATCAGTTAGAAAAACTCTCGGTGGAGAGCAACACTTGATTAGGAGGATACCGTAGTTTGGTCACCTACAAATTAAACTCTTCAATCTCTAAGTCACTATATATTTCAACACAATAACAATAAGATAAGTAGGGAGTGTGTAAATCATGAGTATGATAACATTTATATAATGACTAGTGATGACATGTAAAATAAAGTTAATAAAGTCACGTTGGAGTTTGTTAGAATATTTCTTATGTAAAGTGTGAAGATGTTGGATAAAGAATTGAAAGTATAAGTTGATCGATTTTGTTGTGACCTAAAACAATATCTCAAAAACAATCCTTAGCTTGAATGTATAAATCCTAAACCATAAACTATAAATCCTAACACACATAAAAACAACTCAATCATATATATATATATAACAAAAACAACTCAATCCTACTTATGACTTAAATAAACAACCTAATCAAAACAAGACCGATACTAAAGTAAATCACCTTCACAATTAGTCTATATCGTGTACTTAAAAGTTAAACTTTTCATGATTTTTATTCGGCCGACGGAGTAAAACTTTTTATATTCTACATAATAATTAAACTCTATTATAATTATTATTTACTGCATCTCTTGTATCTTAAAATATTTTAAGTGCGGACAATTTGCGTCAAAAACAAAATGCAGTGGCAAAATTATTGAACATAGTACAAGAGTTTGGAGTTCCGTATAAAATAATGCCTGTCTACAAATTCTATTTCATGTCCTTTAGCTTAAAGCTATCTCCAATAAAACAACCCTTTTGCAAGCCAAAAAAAAGAAAGTTGCCTTTGACGACAAAAAGAAAAAAGGGTTAGAAATTTGAGCACTAAAAATAAATTGATACGTCCGAGAAAACCCATGTTGCCTTAACCCACTATAAATATGACACCAACGTTAAGCAAATACTCAGAGAGAGACTCAACGTTAAAAAAAAAAAAAGGAACACATTAAAAGGTTGAGGCGTTGAGAAATGGGAAATATTAGTGTGTTAATGATTTTGTTTTGCTTATTATTGAATGTTATAACATATGTTCCATATCTCACAAACGCATCATCGTGCGAATCCAAATCCCCCGCATACAATCCCTCTGGAACGCACGCCATTCTCACTCTCAACAACTTCGCTCGCGGCGGCGACGGAGGGGGCGCTGCCGCATGCGACGGAAGGTTCCATCCTCTGCCACAAAGAGTGGTGGCGCTTTCAAGCGGATGGTTCAACCGCGGTGCACGGTGCGGAAGAATGATAAAAATAAAAGCCAGAAACGGAAGAAGCACAGTGGCTAGGGTTGTGGATGAGTGTGATTCCGGACATGGGTGTAGCAAATCTCACAGGAATCATCAGCGAGGATGCAAAACTAACGTTGTTGATGCGTCTAAAAATGTGTGGAAGGATTTGAGACTCAACACGGATGATGGTGAAGTACCAGTCACTTGGACCATGCTATGAAGTATGAACTCATCATAATTAATAATATAAATAATAATGCTGAATATATAATAATTAAGGACCAGCATGTATATGTATATGTATATACAGCTCCAATAAACCACGAGGCTATATATTCTAATTTGAAGTCTTGATATATATATTATGGATGAATGCAGTATATATAAATTCATCCCATATCAGTGCCCCTTATATAATTAATAATCACACAACATATTGTTCATCTTTAACTGATCTTGAAGATGGCATCATATCATATATCATATATATATATATATATATATATGTTAATAATAATATATGTCGTGGTACAGTTCAATTTTCTTTCTTCTTCATCTTCGATGCCACTACTTTTTCTGATTTCACTAATCAACAGTCTTTCCCGTGTTGATTAATTTAATTTAATATATAGATATACTAGTATTTTCTGATAAATAAATTTTATAAATACGAATTTTAAAGAAGAAGAAAAAAGATGCTGACGATGAGTGTCCCTATTAAGATGCTGATTAGGAAATTTTATTATTTTAAAAGAATAACTATTAATGCATCGTGATTAATTTAGAATATATCTTCATTAAGATTTTAATGAACAAAATTTATTATTTTTTAACTAATACTGATAAAATAGTTAGCAATGGGGAAGTCTACTTGGCAAGATACTTAAAACAAATATATAAAAGACAAAATATCACACAATTCTCATACTAGTGTTATCAAATTTAATATAGTGATTAATTTGGCAAAAAATGAATGCTGTGCGCAGAAACAATTTTGTCCTCCGCTTTCAAATTATTTCTTATTTAAACTAATGTATACATCTTAAGAAAGTCATTAATTATGCTAATATGATAAAAAAATAGTTGTATACAGTTATAAATTAATTAATACTTAAATAATACATCGATAAATAGGAGATTAAAATAATAATTAATATTTGTTTTAATTTTTAAAGTAACATAATTTATATAATAAACCAGAACTCTTAATATATAATTGAGTAAAAATTTCATTTGTAATACTTTAAGTATTTTATATTATTCTCCGATTAAAATTAAAATTTTACTTTTTGAAAACTAACATTATGAAAATAATATCATTAATAAAAGCCTAATAATAAGATTTAGTCCAAAATAAATTGAATCAGAGGAACAATGAATATATCCCTGGATCAACAGAATTATAAGTTTTACGTACGTACTCTTTCGTCACGCAATCGAACGAGCTAATTAATATTTTAATTAAATACTGTCAATTCACATAGCAAAGTTATGTAAACTGGGCCACATACCTATTACAAATTATTGTGATCATTGGTTGGTTTGATTAAACTATCAAAAAAGAAATATTTTTTCTTGGATTGTTTAAAAATGGTATCTTGGTTACGAATGAGTATTTCGACAGATTCTAAACAGAATCGGACACGTACAACACTAAGCATAGGTAAAACCTAATTAACGTTATTACTTATGCCAACCAAATTCGGAGAAAGCCAAAAGTTTACATTCCATCTATGGCCGGTTTTATGTATACTATATAGTATAAAACAGAGATTTCGTGTTTTTCTGTATTTTTAAGAATAGAAAATAATATAGTAAGTGATTTTTTAAGAAGTGATTTGGTAAAAAAATAAAAAATAATGACCCAATATCAAAGACTGAATTTGGTTAAAAAAGTAGGGAGTTGCTACGGTACCCTCAAAGATCGAGGGGTTCCAATACATTTTTCTATGTAAACTCATAAAATTTTTTTAAAAAATTAATTTAATTATAAAATGAATAATCTAAATTATATTTATAAAATAAAAAGTAATATAAAATTATAAAAATTAAAATTATAAGATTTCAATAATATTATAAAATATTAAAAAAAAGAAAAATTAATAAATAGTAAAAATAAAAAATAATTAAAATTACAATATAGAAATTCAAAAATTTATGACAAAAAGACAAAAAAAAATACTTAAAAAATTATTAAAATTAAAATATAGAAATTCAAAAAATTTAAGTGAAAAAATAAAAATAAACTTAAAAAATTATTAAAATTAAATTATTTAAATATATAATAATATTATTGCAAATAAATTAGAATATATAAAATAAAAAATAAAATAACTAAATAATTTAAAAATTGAAAGAATAAAATATTATAAATATTATTTAAATAAATTATTAAAAATATAAAATATTAAAAACTGTACCGGTACCCTCTTAAATAAGATGGGTACCATAGAATTTCTCAAAAAAGTATTAGTGTTTGATAATTTTAGTGTTTATTTTTCTTTTTAAATTACATTTTAAAAAAAGGTTAACGAGCCCGTGGACCAAAGCGGGCCAACAAAAATGTGGCCCAATATGAAAGTAGAGCTGGACTTCTGATCTGACCCTTGGGCTGCCAGACCCAACAGAACGACCCATGAGGGTTCTAGAAGAGTGTGATTATGTTGTTCAATGGTAAACAGAAATGGAAATCAATCAAGCTACACTTGTCTTAAATGGTTAGAAATGGAACCACATTCCAGTTAATATAAATCAACTGTTATGGAAGCTACCATCGATTTTGTAGTTTTTGCTGCATCCATTTTTCTTAGGAATACAGTTAAGAATATCAATGAGTCAGATTATATCACTAAATTATTACTAACTAATTTACTGCATAATTAAATTCATTTTTAAAATCAATCTTGTTGAATTAAAACACGATCCTAGATTTATGAGGCTATAAATTTTAATGAATTTAGACTTTTTTTGAAAATAAAAGTCTTTCAGATTGCTCTATAGACAAATTTTGATAAGACGATTAGTTATATAATTATCATACCGATTACTTCTTTTATAAAACAAATTTTGACTGATACTATTCAATTCCCTTCTTTTTTAATGTTTTTCTTTATTTTACAAACACTTATATATTAAGCACGAAACTCTATTTTGTGTGAGTATTTTTATAAAATTTTCTTCAATGGGGCTTGTAATTTTTTTTTTTAACTTCTTATCTAATTTGATTTTATTTATTATGATTATTTATTAATTAAATATTAATATCTTAAAATAATTTATCACAAAAAACTAATTTTTTTGTTACAATACAAATTATTTATCATAAATCTAATAGATAATTTATATATTTAAAAATATTTATGTATGTTAAATAAAAAAATATTTATATATACTAATTTTTAAATATAATTTATATATTCAAAAATAATATTTTTTTACATATAATTTATTAAAAAATTTATTTATATTTAATAAATATATTTGTATATTACACAAATTAAAATACTAATTAAACTCATAAGTTTAAATCGGATTTTAGACCTAATTATATGAAAATAAGGTTAAATTTTAAAAATCTGACACTAAAAATATATGACTAATTTATGTTAATGTGTATAAATATAAACAGATATGGATGGTAATAATTTATAATCTTTAGGGGCGAAGTATCTTTTTTCCCAATAATACACCTATTTTTAACTTCTGGTCTTTAGCATGTTTTTTCTTAACCTTTAGTCTTTGTAATTTATTTTTTATTATTTTCTACTGTTACTGACCATTTTATTATAACGTGTTTGTTAAATGGGATGGTGGCGTAGGCTTTTCCCTCATGCTTCGGATCATAATCTTTCATTGCCACAAAAGCACTCGTCAGAAAGCTTTCCACTTTCAAGCAATTTGGCTTACTACAAGAGCATTGTACAATTATAGTAAAAAAAAATAACGCCAAGGATTCAAAGCCAAAAACAATTATTATAGGGACTAAAAGTTAACTAAAATTTTAGAGTCAAACCGAAAATATGCATATTACAGGACCAAAAAGATATTTAAATATTTTTTATTATTTAATAGATTATAACTTTATCTTGCATGAAAACTATTTTAACTTATTTTTGCATTAAAAATATTTTATTTTTTATCTATTTTTTCCTATAAATTAATTATATTTTTAGTCCTCAAATTTAAAAATATTATTTTTCTTAGTTTTTGTAATTTAAAAAAAATCATGTTTTAATCATTATATTAAATTTTGTTAAAAAAAATTATCAAATGCTATCGCATAAAATTTACCTGTCGATATCTCGATAGTACAAACGTTATATTAAATTTAGTTGATATTGTATAATTATTTTAATCTGTCACTTTTAGATATATTATTAGTGATCTAAAGGACTAAAACAAGATTTTTGAAAATTACAGAGATTAAAAATAATTATAAATTTGAGTGAAAAAATAAATTTATCATAAATTTGAGAGATTAAAAATATATTTAAATCTTTTCCTCTTTATTTCCTAGATTAAAAATATCAATTCAATACTAAATATTGACGTTGAAGAATAAATTTGATAAGAAAAGAAAAAAAGTTATAAAGTTAAACATAAATCTTATTATAACTTTAAATAAGTTAAACTTATATATTGTTTAAGTGAAGCTTTTATTGGAAAGTAAATTTCAGGTTATTGTTCCACTTAATTTGTTTACAAATTTCATACATTTTATTGAGTCGTTAGGTTGTCTAACGCAACCTGTTGATTATATATCTTAGAAATTGTTGTTCCAAATATTAAGGAATCAATTCACCTATGGACTAAAACTTGAATAATATATATAAAATGACTCCACGCCTATATCTATCATTCTCTTGTCCAAAATTCAATTTACAAATTTGAAGCTCATGAAAATCTGACCAATCAAATTATTTTATACCTGAATATGGAATGAGTGTGTCAAACTTCCCATCATGAATTCATATACGTTTACATGTCATCAAGAAAATGATTAGATATTTTTAAAGAATAGTCTCAATATGCATGTGTCTCACACTAAACACTACCATAATGAAATAGTATCATGAATTTTGAAAATCCAATATTTGCTCAATACCTAGAACTTTATCCTCATATATACATATATATAGAAAATGTTGGAATAATATATAAATAATTAATTTGAAAAACATTCCATGGGCTTTTCAAATGATTTTGGCAAGGACTTCCAAA